TTCTTATTACATACAGTCAGCGTTTAAAATGCACTGAACTTTTATAATAGATCTTTCACCAGCTGAAACATAACCTTTAACTTTTAATTAGACATGCAATGCATTTTTATCTTGAAAATAAGTGTTCCCATTGAAGCTGCTAGCATGGCACTAAGGATTAGCCAACCAGAGTTAAATCTGTTCTATTTTTATTTATACTTTTAGTGATTGTTTTCCAATTCAGCAAATTTCTGGCTTGATTATTCTAAAAACAAAAGATTATAATTATATCAGAGATATGTTGGGTTGAACCTAGCAGTAGGGTTGACTTACATTGCAAGATTACCAAGATTACTCTGCTTTAACTTTAAAAAAGCCTGCCATATTTATAATAGCATCAGGTTCTTTGAATAGCATCTTCTTTGAGTCTTCTTTTCTAGCTTTTTTTAAATGGATTATGTGCCATCAAGTCAGTGTCAACTCTTAGCATCCACAGAGCAACTACCGGAATCATAATGTGACTGCTGTATGAACTTCATGGGGCTCTAAGTATACTAGGAAAATTTTTAAGAGGAGAAGATACTTCTCGGGCAACTTGAAAAGCCTCAATCAAACCTCTTCCATCCAATCAAACTTTTTTGTGCTGAAAGAGGGATATTATCTAGAATTTGTTCTAACATCTTTCTTATTGAGAATCTAATTGGAGCAAGGTATCTAAGTGCATTTCTGTCAGAATTCTGGGCAGATCATTTTAATTCCTAAAAGCCATACAGGAGACCCTTGAAAGAAAATAGGTATTAATCGTTGTTGGATCGTTTTCTTTATTCTTTGACTTCCTCTCTGCTGATTAATCAGAAACTATAGTAAAATCCAAAAACCACATTATCATCCTATTCACTTACCATAGTAAGTATCCATCAAATTATCTGATTCTCTGACATACTCCTTTTGTATGAAACTTTAAGAAACATTTTGAAAGAATTGCAGGGGGGAGGCAGATTTTTTGATTAGAGGAATATATTTTTTGCAGACTCTGTTTAGCGTTACAATCCAGAGTGAGTTCTGGCACTTCTCACTTCTCCACTCTCACAGAAATCCAGAGTAGATTTCTTTTAAATCTTTAACAACAACTAGCATGATCCTGGTTTTCTGGGGCTCTCACTGCCAGGATGGATAAGAGTAGACAGACCTTCTTTACCCCAACAGGCTGAGACTTCACTTCTCCTTCTATCCAGCCCAAAATCAGATGTACCAATCCCTTTAAATTCATTTAAGAAGGAATGAAGAATAGTTTTCTAAGTCTCTGTGTTGTCTCGTGACTCTTTTAAATGTTATACAATTTGGGGGATAAATTGCAGCTATTATTTATCTGAGCCAGTCCCACTGAACCCACTAAGATGTATTACTATGTTGACAGAAACAGAATTATATTATTATTATTATTATTATTATTATTATTATTAGTAGTAGTAGTAGTAGTAGTAGTAGT